ACTCTCTCTCTCTCTCTCTCTCTCTTTAAAAAAATAAAGTGCATAGAATTGTGTAACCAAGATTGCAATTGAGAAGATTGCAACCAAGATACAGAACAGTCTCACAAACAACTCTTTCTGGCTACCTCTCCCCAAACCAGAAAACCCTGGCAACCACTGTTCTGCTCTTTTCTCCTAAATTTTGCCTTTCCAGATTTCATGTCATGTAAATGGAATCCTGCTGCTATGGTCTAGAGGTTTGTGTCCTCCCCGTCCTGCCCAGTTTCCAGTGTTGAAACCCAATTCTCTATGTGACCATATTCATGGGTGAGGCCTTTAAGAGGTGATTCAGGCACAGGTAGAGCCCTTGTGAATGGGATTAGTGCCCTCATAAAGAGGCTTGAGAGAGGTTTGCTCCTTCAACCACGTGAAGACACTCACTGGCACTATCTATGAGAAACCCGCCTAGGTAATCTATTGTTTATAATTACCCAATGTATTGCATCACAGCAGCCTGAACTTCCTAAGATTCCTACTTATGGAGCCTTTCAATTTGGCATCTTTGACTCAATATAAATCACTTGAGATTTACTCATGTTATTATGTGTAAAATATTTTTCTTTTTAAACTCTGTAGTGTTCCATTAGACAGGTACCAGCCAGGTGCAGTGGCACATACCTAACCTCCCAGCTACTTGGGAGGCTGAGACAGAAGAATCACAAGTTTGAACCAACCTGGGCTACTTAGCGAAACCCTGTCTCAAAATAAAATTTTAAAAAGTGTTGAGGATTAGCTCAGTAGTAGACCACTTGCCTAGCATGCTCAAGGCCCTAGGTTCTATCTTCAGTGCAAAAATGAAAACAACAAACAAAATAAACAAAGGATGTATCACAATTTGCACCAGTGAAGATTATTTAGGATATTTCCAGCTTTTAGTGATCCAGATTTCCAATATATAGATCCTGCACATATTTTGTTAGATATATACCAATACAAAATTCATCTTTTTCTTTTCTTTATTTTGTGCTGTAGTTAATGATTCTTTCTCTCCCCTCCCCACCATTGCTAGTACAGTAGGTACAGTTGATTTTAAAATGTGTTTTAGTGACAGGCATGGTGGCACAAACCAGTAATCCCAGCAACTCAGAAGTTAGAAAGGCTGGGGCAGGAGAAACTCAAGTTTGAGGCCAGCTTCAACACCTTAGTGAGATCCTATCTCAAAAAACAAAAAAGGTTGGGGATGTAACCCAGTGGTAAAGTGCCCCAGGGTTCAATCCCCAATTCAGTAATAATAAGTGTTTTTATATGCTATGAATTTGCTAAACTTACTTATTAGTTCTAGGAACTTTTGCAGATGCCTTCAAATCTTCTATGTATGTAGACAATCATTTCTTAGCCTGCTTGTGTATCTATATGCCTTTTATATCTTTTTCTTGCCTCATTGCATTGACTAAGACTTCCAGTATGATGTTGAATAGGACTGATAACAGTGAATGCCCGTGTCATCATCGTAGTCTCAGGAAAATAGTCACCAGAAAGTAGGATATTAACACCAGTTCTTTGAAGTTTTCTTCTATTCCTCAACTGCTGGAATTTTTATCATGAATGGATGTTAAATTATTTCAAATTATTATTCTTCATGTACTAATTTGATCAAATTATTTTTTATTCTTTAACCTGTTTATAATGATGAATTCCATTGATTGATCTTTGGATACTGAATTCACCTTGCATCTGTGGGACAAACACCCACTGGGTCATGATATGCTATCCTTTTTAGGTATTGCTGGATTAGATAATGCTTATGTTTTATTGAGGATTTTGCATGTGTATTCATGAGGAATGTTGGTATGTAGATTTCTTGTAGTGTCTTTTGCCAGTTTTGGGATCAGGATAATGTTGGCCTTTTAAAACACATTGGGAAGAATGTTATGCTCTTTTTTTTTCCATAAGAGATTTTATAAAAATTGGTACAATTTTCTTCTGCAAATGTTTGGTGAAATTCACCAGTGAAACAATCTGGGCATGGAGTTTTTTCAGTTAAAATGTTTTAAAAATACAAATGCACTTTCTTTAAAAGACATAGGACTCTACTTGTTATCCATTTATTCTTTGGGGAGTTTTGGTCATTTGTTTTTTTCAGTTATGTCCACTGACATATGTGGTTCAAATTTGTAGACTTGGAATAGCTACTGCTACTAATATTTTTATCTTCTTTTTCTCCTCCTTTTCCTTTTTTTTTTTTTTGTCAAAGCTGTGGATCATATCCAACATGTGCATGCTAAGCATGAACTCTCTACTACTGAACTATATTCCCAGCACCCTTAACATTCTGTTTGTTTTTTGTGTTTTTTGTTTGTTTGATTTGGTAACGAGGATTAAACCTAGGGCTGCTCAACTGTTGAACTACATCCTTAGTCCTTTTTATTTTTTATTCTGAGACATTCTGATATAGGATCTCACAAAATTGCCAAGCCTGGCCTCTAACTTGCAATCTTCCAGCTCAGCGTCCTACATTGCTGGTATTACAGATATGTGCCAATGCAACCTGCCCCCTTAATATTCTTTTAATGTCAGTAGGGTCTGCAGGTGATATTTTCTCTTTAGTTCTGATATTGATAATTTGTGTCTTTTCTCTTGTTTTTCTTGGTCTGGATCAAAACTGTGCAGGGTTGGAGATTTTACCTTACTTGCAACTTGGTAAATTAGACTGCCACAGCTTATGGATCCTGGTAGAAGACACATGATTCCTAAATTAGAAACAAAGTTCAGCTTATTACAGCAACAGCAGCAGCCAAAGTATCAGCACTTTTGTAGCAGTTTCCTTGGCACAAGTTCCCACAAAGCAATACAAAGAGAACCAGATGATGACACCTGAAATTGTAGTAGATTTTGGGCGAATAACACAAAATTTAAGGCACTAGAATCCTTTTTTTTTTTTTTTTTTTGTACCAGGGATTGAACCCAAGGGAGCTCATCCACTGAACCATATTCCCAGCCCTTTTTGTTTTTTTTAATTTTGAGATAGGGTCTTGCTAAATTGTTTAGGGCCTTGTTAAATTCCTGAAGCAGGCTTTGAACTTGCCATCCTCCTGTCTCAGCCTCTGGAGCAACTGGGATTACAGGCATGCACCACTATGCCCAGCAGTCTTCCCAGTTTCTTAAGGTAGAAGCTTGGATTCTTGATCTGACACCTTTTTTTTTTTCTTTCCTAACAAAATTATTTAATACTAGAACTTTCATTCTTATCACTGTTTTAGCTGTATGCCACCATATTTTGATATGTCAAAGGTGTTGCTCATGTCTTGTATATCCTTGTTCATTTTCTTACTTGTTTTGTCAATTCTGAGAGAATATTGAAGTCTTCAAAATACAATTGTGGCTTTCTTCTACTAGCTTCTGATGTATATGTTTTGATGCTTTGTTGTTAGATCTATACACATTTAGGATTGTTATGATTTTTTAGTGAATTGAGCCTTTTATCATTGTGGAAATGTCCTTCCCTTATCAGTGGTGATTTTCCTTGTTCTGAAGTCTACTTTGGTATTAATATAGGTCCTGCTGGGGTGTTGTTTTGTTTTGCTTTACTTTCAACACTGGCGATTAAACCCAGGGACACTCTACCACTGAGCTACATCCCCAGCTATTTTTATTTTCATTTTGAGACAGGGTCTTACTAAATTGACCAGGCTGGCCTTGAACTTGTGGCCCTCCCACCTCAACCTCCAGAGTAGTTGTGCCCATCTCTACTGGGTATTTTGAATGTGGCTCTCAAGGCATATTTTTTCTAAATATATTACTATATTTAAAATGGGTTTCTTATAGACAATATAAAGTCTTGACTGATAATCTTGTTTGTGTGTGTGTGTGTGTGTGTGTGTGTGTGTGAGAGAGAGATACTTGAGGTTGTACTCATGTATGTGAATGCTAGTTGAGCACTTTACCACTAAGCTACACCCTCAGCCTTTTTACAAATTTTTATTTTGATACAGGTCTTGCCCAGGCTGGCCTCAAACTTGTGATCCTCCTGTCTCAGCTTCTCAGGTAGATGCAATAAAGACCTGGGCCACTTTTTTGGCTGTTTTTATTATTTTTAATTGGTATATTTAAACCAATAACCCATAATATAATTATTGATATCATTGGAGTTGAATCTACCATTTTATTTTTATTTTCTATTTGTCCCTCTGTTTTCCTTTTTTTTTGTATTCTTTTGAATATTTCTACTCTTTCATTTTAATTGCTAATACTCATTTTGTCTATATCTTTTATTATTTTTAATGGTCATGCTAAGAATTACAATATACTTATATATCTTTTAACCATGGGTTTATGTTAATATTAACAGTTTAAGTAAAATATATTAAACATAATAAGTACAAGAGACTTAAGTCTCTTGAGTCTTCCCTCCTTTTATGTTGTATTTGTCATTTTTATTATATTGACACCATTGAACTTCCACCAGTCTTTTGCTTTCAACAGTTACACATATTTTACAGAACTTACAAGGGAAAAATACTCTGTAACATTTACCTAAACATGTGTTTGTTCCTCTGTCAACTCTAATGCTCCAGCTTTCCCTTACATCATTTCCCTTCTGCTTGAGGAACTTCCTTTAGTATTTCTTTTTGAGCAGGTCTGCTAGCATTGAATTGTCTTAGTTCCCCCCACTCACCCCACCCTCCACCATGATATCTTCACTTCCCCACTCTATCTAAGGCTGTTGTCAATGGTTGTAGAATTCTGGGTTAGTAGTTCTTTTCTTTAAGCCTTTAAAGGTATAGTTCCATTGTCTTCAGGGCTTTATGAGATTTTTCAAGATCTTTCAAGATTTTTTTTCTCTTTGGTTTTCAAAAGTTTAATTATCATATGTCCAATTTGGTTTCCTTTGATTATAAAATATATTTTATAACCTTATCTGTTTCACCAAACTGTAAAATTTTCAGCCATTACTTTTTAAAATATTTTTTTCTACACCAATCTCTTCCCATTCTGGAACTGAAATGACACAAATATTATATTTTATTGTCCTATATGTCCCTGCTGATATGTTTGGTTTATTAAATATTTTTTTCTCAGCTCTTTACAGTAGACGATTTGTATTGATCAATCTTCAAGTTCATTGACTCTTTCTCCATCATCTTAATTCTATTTTCCTATCCACTGACTTTTTTTATTTCACACATTGTATTTTTGAGTTCTAAAACTTCCATTTGACTTGTTTGTTTATAATTTCTGTTTCTCTGCTAAAAATCTCTATCTTTCATTTATTTCACTTTTACTTCATGAAGGGTGATTTATAGCAGCTGATTTAAAGTCTAATATTCCAACCTCTGGATTTTCTTGACTTAGGAATTTGGAGATACAAAAAAAGAAAGATACACTGAGTCTCAAAAGAGAAGCACTCATTAACTATTGTAATGAGGGAAAACCACCCAGAAAACTTCGGAATGGAAAACAAGCAACTCCTGAACAACCTGCCCCTGTGTCCTTGTGCCCAAGTCTTGCCCACAAAAAGTAGGATGATGTGAGGGTAAGAAAAGCCAGGGCAAAATTGCATAAGTTGGCCTTGACTCCATTTCTAATTCAGCACCCTGGCTATTACTACTGTCCCTCTATAAATATTAGAATCTCAGACCAAGACAAGACTTCTCACTCTTGAGATTGCTCACACTCTCTCTTTTCCTTCAAGTGTGTAATCCTCGCTTTCCTAAATAAATCTCTGCTTGTGCCTCAGTCTGTGCATGCTGAAATTCTTTTCCATTACACACATCAAGGACCCTGTCAACCTGAGCTGAGGTCTCCCTCTGTGGGACCTCCTCAGCACCTCCTCCAGTGATAATCTTGGGTTGGCAACTTTCCATTGTCTTTTCACTTAAATATTGTTCATATTTTCTTGGTTCTTTATACAAAAAGTAATTTGGGACTGTATTTTGAACATTTCTAATGTATATTATAATACAAAAACTCCTGGTCTTATTAAAATCCTCTGGAGAATATAACATTTTTGTTATTTTAACAAGCAAGCTGCCTGGTAGGTCCAAACTAAAAATTCTGTTTCTCCTTCTTTGGATAATTTTTTTAAAATTTCATTTATTTGTTTATGTATTTCCTTTTCATTTACATATTGCCCCCCAAAAATCCTACAGATAAAGAACATTCTTCCTCACCTTCAGTTGATTTTAATCTAATTTTCTCTGTATCCAAATGATTTTCTCATTTGCAAAGAGCTTTCTTTCTTTTTTATTTCTTTTCTTTTTCTAATATGGCAATTGTTTATTTTTGCTTTTATACTGTCATAAAGGAGTATCATCATGTCCCTTTTTTCACGAGAGAGAAATAGTTTTTTGATCAGTTAGTTTCAAAGTAAATTTTATTCTGCTTTGGGTCTACATCACACATGTGCCTCTCAGGGGTCAAGTCTGAACTGTGCATGATTTATGTCATGGATCAGTTCTCAATACCTCTGCTATGCAGCTTTGGACCTGTTTCATGCATACATACCTCAGGTTCAAGATATAAGATTCTAATTTGGCACTTCCTTCCACAAAGTTTAAGAATTATAGGGATGTTATAATAATAAGACATTTTTTTCCCTTACTATTCCTTGTGGCATTGTTTTTACTCTCCTACCATGTCAGCTTAATAATGATTTATACTTGAGTCACAAATCTACTATGTTAGAGTTTGGATCTGAAATGTCCTGCAAAGGCTCATGTGTTGAAGGCTTGGTCCCCAATGCAACAATGTTCAGAGGTGGGGCTTTTGAGAAGTGATTGGATCATGAGAGTTCTGACTTCATCAGAGGATTAACAATTGAATGTAGTATCAGGAAGCGATGGAAACTGCAAGATGTGAGGCCTAGCTAAAGGGAGTGGGTCCTTGGGATCATGCCCTCAGGGATTATCTTGTCCTGGGCACACCTACCCCCACCCCCCAACAACCTTCTACATGATGTTCTGCCTCAACTCAGGCCCAGAAAAATAGAGCTGGTTGATTGTCAACTGAAACCTCTGAAAACATGAGCCAAATAATTTTTTTCTGCTTTAAGTTGTTTATGTCAGTTATTTTGGTCACAGCAATGGAAAGCTAGATACATCCTAAAACTGATTTTGTTCTTTCTGTTATTACAAAAAAGAAAATCATGTTAAGATTTTATTAGCCAGGTGTGGTGGCGTACACCTGTAATCCTTGGAAGGCTGAGACAGGAGGATGGCAGGTTTGAAGCCAGCCTCAGCAATGACAAGGTGCTAAGCAACTCAGTGAGACCCTGTCTCTAAATAAAATACAAAATAGGGCTGGGATGTGGCATCGTGCTTGAGTGTCCCTGAGTTCAATTCCAGGTACAAAAAAAATTATTTATCATTGGGGAAATAAAAACTTTCCATTACAAGGATAAACTAAAGGAATTCATGAGTACTGAATCAGCACTACAAAGAATATTTAAAGATTAACTGGACACAGAAGAACCGAAAACAAACTCCAAATCTTCCAAATAGACTAAGATTACTAGAAGAGCAGCCAATTAAATGAAAGTCAAGACAGAATTAAGTATAGCAAACAAATAAAAATGACAAGAAACTACAAACACTTTATCCATTATAACACAGAATATAAATGGTCTCAATTCCCTAATTAAAAGGCATAGAATAGCAAAATTGATCAAAAAATAAGATCAACTATATGCTATTTGTAAGATTTATCTAATAGGCAAAGAGGCCCATAGGCTGAAATTAAAATCCTGAGAAAAAATATCCCATGCAAATGAAATCCAAAAACCAGTAGGAGTAGCTATTCTGATATCTGATAAAGCAAATTTCAAGCCAAAATTAATCTGAAGAGACAAAAAAGATCACTATATACTTACAGAGGGAACAATCCAACAAGAAGTTATAACAATAGCGAATATATATGTCCAAAATGTTAGTGCCCCTAATTATGTAAAAACAAAATAAAATAATCTTCCTGACATTAAAGCTCAGATAGACCCCCAATACAATAATATTAGGTGATTTCGACACACCCTTATCACCAATAGACAGATCATCCAAACATAAAGTCAATAAAGATATTTCCAACCTAAATAATTTTATAAATCAATGGATATAATAGACATCTACAGAATATTTCATAGCAAAACAGCTAAATTTACATTCTTTTCAGCAGCTTATGGAAAATATTCCAAAACAGATCACATTCTAGGTCACAATGTAAATCTTAGTTTAAAGAAAGAAAGAAAGAAAAGATATAATCCTGTACATTCTATCAGATCACAAAGGAATTAGAAATCAAAAGCAAGAAAAATAATAGAAACCACATTAACACATGCAGTTTGAAAAATATTCTTTTAAATAAAGAATAGATCAGAGATGCAATGAGAGAAGAAATCAAGAAATTCTTAGAAACAAATGAGAACAGAGATATAACATCAAAATCTCTGGGACAACATGAAAGCAGTTCTAAGAACATTTATAACATTGAGTACCTACATTAACAAAATAGTAATTCAAAAAAAATAAACTCATACACCTCAAGGCCTTATAATAGGAAACAAACTCCAAAATTAGAAGACAGGAAATAATTAAGATCAGAGCTGAGATTAATAAAATTGAAGATTAAAAAAATACACAGTATCAATGCAACAAAGAGTTGGTTCTTCAAGAAGATAAATAGGACTGACAAATCCTTAGCCATACTAACCAAAAGAAAGAGAGAAAAGACACAAATAAACAAAATTAGAGATAAAAAGGAGATACAACCACAGACAGTTCTGAAATCCAGAGGGTCATTAGAAACTATTTTGAAAATTTTTACTTCAATAAACTAGAAAATCTGGAAGACATTGACAAAGTTCTAAACACATAGGAGTTGCCCAAATTGCACCAGGAAGACACAGAAAACCTAAACAGACAAATATCAAGTAATGAAATTGAAACAGCAATTAAAAACCTTCCAACACAGAAAAGCCCAGGGACCATAGGGATTCTCAGCTAAGTTCTACCAGACCTTTAAAGAAGAACTAATACCAGTTTTTCTCAAATTATTCCATGAAATTCAAAGGGAAGAAACACTCCCAAATACATTCAATGAAATCTATATAACACTGATACCAAAATCAGACACAGATACATCAAGGAAAGAAAACTACAGACCAATATCCCTGACGAACATACATGCAAAAATTCTAAATAAAATATTATCAAGCCACATTCAAAAACACATCAAGAATATACTATACCATGATCAACTAGGTTGCATTATAGGGATGCAAGAGTGGTTCAACATATGCAAATGAATAAATGTAATTCACTACATAGATAGAATTAAGGACATACGATCACCTCAATCATATGATCATCTCAATAGATGCAGAAAAGACCTTTGATAAAGTCCAATACTTGTTCAAGTTAAAAACATTGGAAAAACATGGATAGAAATAACTTACCACAACATTATAAAGGCTATTTATGACAAACCTACAGTCAACATCATACTGAATGGATAAAAACTGAAAATATTTCCTCTAAAATCAGGAACATAAGGATACCCTCTCTCACCACTTTTATTCAATATCATTTCTGAAACACTAGCCAGAGCAATCAGGCAAGAAAAGAAAGTTAAATAAATATAAATAGAAAAAGAAGTTAAATTGTATGTTTTC